GTGACATATTGCCAGAATATGAAGGCATCAATCAAATCTGCAACACAACCAAAACTCGCAATAAGTAGAACGATGAATGATAGACTCTGCTCACTCTCACATTTCTTCAAACCTCTGGTACAGAGTACTATAATCATTTCTCCTTTAAAAACACAATTCTCAGGATGATTTGGTTACCACAATTAGTAGGAGTAGAAGAATCGCAGAGATTTTGGAGCTTGAAGCAAAATGTTCCCTCTACCGCAATAGTTGGTTGCATCACAATGTACCTGCTTCAATACAATCATGAAACGATATATTTGTTTATTTCTAAGGAAAAAGAAGTAGGTAAGCAAACCAAAGAACACGGAAGTCCAAGGGAAGAAAGGATATAGCTTAAGTATTCTAGCAGAGCCTCGCTCGTATCTTTCCCCATGAAACAGCCTCATCCGGAGTCACTCCCATAGTACGATTTGCATGGACAGCTTCACTTTTCATGGCTCTAATATCTGCTCAAAAAGTATCTACTGAGATTATCGTATCCACAATCCTCAAGAATTACAGAAAATATTTAGTTTTGTATTTAAGAACAATCAACACATCAGAGTGGTGCAGTGGAAGCATGGTGGGCCCATAACTCACAAGTACTACAATCGAAACCTAGCTCTGACATTTTGTTGAAGGCATTAATCTTTAATTTTGCAATTTCTGGTATCAGGTCCAATGAAGAACAAGCTGCCATAAGTTAAATACCTCGGGTTTTTTTTAACATCTTTACTTCTGCTATATTGGAAAAGGCAGTCAAACATCAGGAGATAAGAAGTAGATATTTACCCCCGTGAAATAAAAACTTTTGGTCATGTTATCCATACTTGAGAAATTTGGAGAGCCCGAATTGAAGGGAAGACTATTAAGGGCATGGATGGAGGTTGCTATAAGCATTGAAGATCAATTCAATAATTGACACTGATAAGATGGGGAGTAATATTAGGACTGTTGATGCATCTGTTGTATGATTAATATTCCTCTGACTCTGAGGTAGTCGGTGGATAGCCAAGTTTATAAATCGCAATATACCTATGTTACTAGATAACAAATAAATAAAATTTTAATTTGTGAGTGGGACGATGCTAAGTAAAAAGGTGGTGGTTGCCATCCTGATATATATTCAGTGTTAGGAAAGTGAAAGTATTCTCTCTTTAAAATACCTTACTAGTGTCACTTTGATGTCCCAAACTAACCCTTTGGCGGGAACTGGGGAAAGGAAGATAAAAAGAAGAAGAAATCAGGGGGGAACCCTAAATCCAATACCTGCAGGCACCAAATCCCAAGTTGAAAGATGGGGAAGGACGAGGAGGAGATGCGTGGCGAGATCGAGGAGAGGCTGATAAACGAAGAGTACAAAATTTCGAAAAAGAACACTCCTTTCCTCTACGATCTCGTCATTACCCACGCACTCGAGTGGCCCTCTCTCACCGTCGAATGGCTCCCCGACCGCGACGGGCCCCCCGGAAAGGATTACTCCGTTCAAAAGATGATCTTGGGAACTCACACCTCGAGAACGAGCCCAATTACCTCATGTTGGCTCAGGTCCAGCTTCCCCTCCAGGATTCCGAGAACGATGCTCGCCAGTACGACCACGACCGGTCCGACCTGGGCGGTTTCGGATGCGCCAGCGGCAAGGTCCAGATCATTCAGCAGATTAATCACGAGGGAGAGGTCAATAGGGCTCGTTATATGCCTCAGAATCCTTTTGTTATAGCCACTAAGACGGTCAGTGCCGAGGTTTTTGTGTTCGATTACAGTAAGCATCCTTCGAAGCCGCCTTTGGATGGGGCTTGCAGTCCTGATTTGAGACTTAGGGGCCATAGCACGGAGGGTTATGGGCTATCTTGGAGTAAGTTCAAGCAAGGCCATCTGCTTAGTGGATCAGATGATGCTCAGATTTGTCTGTGGGATATCAATGCCACTCCCAAGAACAAGTCTCTTGATGCTATGCAGATCTTCAAGGTCCACGAGGGTGTCGTCGAAGATGTTGCTTGGCATCTTAGGCACGAGTACTTGTTTGGTTCCGTTGGGGATGACCAATATTTGCTTATTTGGGACCTGCGAACCCCATCTGCCACCAAGCCTATCCAGTCCGTAGTTGCTCACCAGAGTGAGGTGACCATCAATCAATTTCTCATTCCCTTTTTTATTTTTTGAATGTAATTTGTGTATACATGAAAAAAAAAATTCAAGCTTTTCTGATAAACAATTGTGACCTTGCTGATTTCTTTTCTTTCCAATTTAGTTAGGCTGAATAGTACTTAGGATTTCGAAAAGGAATTCACTCAATAAAGAGGTACAAAGTGACCAAAACAACATATGGACTCAACAATAATATTTCTTGTTTCATTTATCCTTCCTAGTTTAGTACCATTTGGTTCTGCCTTTGATTTCTGTGCTAAATATTTAGACATAAAATTCTGATGAATAGAGTATATTTTTGGTTTATATATGCTCTTATCGGAATGCTAGCAGGTTGATAAGTTCGATAATCGATACTGAAGTGAAGTTTGGCTCACTTTGTTGTTTGATGTTGTTATTTTCATTCTTATAAAAAAAATATGATATTTTCATGTTATCAGGTCAACTGCTTAGCTTTCAATCCCTTTAATGAGTGGGTTGTGGCAACGGGTTCTACTGATAAGACGGTTAAGTTATTTGATCTTCGCAAGATCAGTACTGCACTCCACACCTTTGATAGCCACAAGTAAGAAATTCTATGATTACTTTTGTGGATTCATGAAATATTTCTATTTTTCCTTTTCCATATATAAAGCCAGTTTGAGTGTTGAATATATGGTTCCATTGTCTTTGAGATTATTTTTTGTGGAACTCTTGAAGATGTTTTAATAACTAGTCATGAAGTTGAACTATGTAATGATGTGCACCAGGGAAGAAGTTTTCCAAGTTTGGTGGAATCCGAAGAATGAAACAATCTTTGCATCCTGTTGTCTTGGTAGAAGGCTCATGGTTTGGGATCTTAGCAGGTGAGTAACTCTTGCCAAATGGTGTTCGGTTTTCTTGATTGAATCTAACCTTTTTTGCCAAATGGGTTTGGTATTTGAGTTGCATTGATGATAACTTTTTTGCTCCAGAAGATTGACTGAATTACCTAGCTAATATTTTTTTTATGCAACTACATTTTGTAACCTCATAGGCATTGCTAATATTGTTGGTCATTCGAATTTTGTTATGCAGGATTGATGAACAGACACCAGAGGAGGCCGAAGATGGTCCACCCGAGTTGCTCTTTATTCATGGGGGTCACACTAGTAAAATTTCTGATTTTTCATGGAACCCATGCGAAGATTGGGTTATTGCTAGTGTAGCTGAAGATAACATCCTTCAAATATGGCAGATGGCAGAGAATATATACCTCGATGAAGACGATGTACCGGGAGACGACTCTGCCAAAGGTTCTTAAATGTTTTTTTTTTCTCCCCAGCATGAGGGGAGAACCAGCTGGGTTAACCCAAGAGGTTGACAAATTTAGGAGAGTAAATTTAGCTCGCCTTCATATGTTTTACAGCCGTGTTAACTTTTTTTAACTCAATCTTTTTGATCCCATGTGCTGAACTGTGACTGATATTAAGTCCATGAGTTGTATTTCACTATTTATGAGCATTAGTATCTTCTTTCTCTCTCTAAATATTTGTTGATATGTTACTATAATCTTTTAAAATTCTGGTGATATAATTGAAGCTAAAATAGAAGTTCAATATTATAATTGAAGAAACTGAAAGTTGAGTGTATAAATGATACATGAAATCGGTGGTATATCATAAAAAGGGTAAATTGCACATTTAGTACCTAAGCTATACAATTTTGGTTTGTTTTAATACTTAAACTTTTATTTCTTCAAAAGCATACATAAAGTTCAATTTTTGTTTCATTAGTACCCGTTAAGTTTTGAAAAAAATTTGAAAATCTAGTTACTAAAACGGACTACAACTGATAATTTAGATATTAAATGCATTATATTTTTAATGATGGGATACTAAATGAAACATAAAGCTAAGCATTATATATGATTTTTTTTAAAAAAAATAAAAATTTATTTATTAAAATGTATCAAAACTGATAGTTCAAATATTAAATACGTAATTTACTCTAAAAAATGGTCCTAAAGTTATTGTTAGAGGTGGGTTATTGATATTTTCAAAGTTGTACATAATTTAGCGCACTGGGCTTTGTCCCGTTTCTGTTTGAAGTAGAACATCTGCTTGTATTGAGATATATCTATTTAATGATACAATTTACAGTTAAATGGATGAAATCATTTTATCCTCAAACAATATATCGATATCAAATATTGATCATAAGAAACACTTGGTCCCATGATTGATGGATAAAATTTGTTCCATATGGGTGGTTTGGATCTTGGCCCATACTTAAGCTACGACCTCTTAGTTTAGAATCCTGTATAAATAGGCCGTTCAACAAATATCATGTATGGATTTCTGGTGTTTAGCAGCTCTTCGAGTAATTAAATTCCAGAAAGCAGGGAAGGCAATTTGGTTTATGCAAAGAATAAGAATATCATGTAAACAACTTTCAGATTTATTGTGTTCATCGGAAATACCATAACTAGAATATAAATGAACATCATCTCATCTCATGTAATTATAAACCAAATACTATGTGATACAAAAACATTCCAAATTATAAGAATACAATAACGTGCAGCACACTGTGACATGTAACCTGCACCAAACAAAATTATATATGTGGCAAAAACGGTGCTTCATAAACAACATAAATGCAAAACTGTATAATTTGCAGATAAAATTGTCACCTCAAATGAATATGATCATTTATCAATGGTAGCATTGCAAAGCCTGCCTATCAGTAGGACGCAATTATTACCGATCATGAGCGCAACGTGCGGATTGAAAGGAAGATATATGTTAACTGATGATCAAAGTGTATCGAGTAAAATATAGTTTGTGGCTTGTGATTAATGTAGTTAGGCTGATTCAATTACCCATCCGGGGTACATTCATTTAATAATGTACCCAACTACCTATCAGTAGTATTCAGTACTTCAAAGAAAATATGAAGTACCACTACTTCATACAACTGTGATTGGATCGGACATTTTACATTATTATATTTCAAATAAAGTAATATCCGCATTCTTGCTTTCATTTTACGGAAGAGAAAGGGTAAACCCACGACTCTTTACCTTTTCAGCTTTTGGGGTGAAGATGACTTTAACCACCTCAAACACCTCTCCAATGGGCTTTGCAGCATCAATCTAAATGCCAAAGCAACAATACCTGAGTTGAGGTAACCATGCCAATCATCTATTGCATAACCAAATGGTTCTGACAGATTATTACCTCTCGGACTTTCCCCTTGGCCTTATAGTACTCAATTACAGGAAGGCTGGACTCGAGAAACACTTTGAATCGCTTCCTTATTGTTTCAATGTTATCATCTTCTCTTCCCTTCATATCGGAGATAAGGACAAATAGTTTAAACAACATAAAATGGCACAAAAAAAAATGAAACTAAGAAATCTTCTAATGTAAATCATATGCATAAACCCATAGAAAGAGAGACAGAAACAGAGCAAGAATTGAATAACCTGGTTTCTACTCAGAAGACGCCTCTCCATCTCTTCTTCAGGGCAATTAAAAAACAGTACAAATTCAGGCTCAATTTTTGTCTGCAGAACCACCAAATGTTGGCCATGTTAAATACCTAACTGAATACTGAGAAGACAAGGTAAAACCTACCCAAGGGAACGTAAACTAAAAGAATAAATATTGGAACCGAGAATGATAATACTTACAACAGCTTCAAATGCTGCACGGTTTTCCTCATTACGAGGAAAACCATCAATAAGGAACTTGTCATTACCACTTTCCAGCATTGCTTTTTGGAGAAGCTTAATTGTGACCTCAGAAGGAACAATCTTTCCTTCTTTGATCATGTTTTGAATCATGGTTCTGTAGATCACAAGAGAGCATGTATTAAATATGATGATTCAGAGAAAGGTGGCATGTAGGAAATGGTTCAAATGATGAAATAATACTCAACATGCAAAAGGTTAATATGCAAACTGGTCAAAAATTGAACAGATCTACCCCAAAACATAAATATGCAACATAGGCAGAGTAGAAAACATGCAGTTCAGGTTTAGAAACCGAAAGAGAGAGGTTGATATCAGAAAACCATACAGATCTGAAAATAATTTTGTCTAATTTCAAGAGCTGAGGGTAAAAACCGCAATCATTTTCAATGAACACATCTCATGTTTGAAATTGAAGAGATCTCCATAGGAACAGCCTACACCAAGCAAAAACAACGATATTCAATCATTACAAACAAGGTTTTTCTTTTCTCAAAGCAATATTACTAAAATTTCCTTTTCTAGATTGATGCGATTCCAGATTTCAATCATGTTTAAAGATAAAAAGTAAATAAAATCTCCAGAATCAGCTAGAAACCAATGTACGGGTAATCTTTTCAGGCATGATTTCCATACCCATTCTGAGAACCAGACTTAATTTCAGCTCGGAGGAGATCTCCAGCACTGAGATGGGTGTAATGAAAGTGTTCCACTATATTTGTACATTGGGTACCTTTTCCACTGCCAGGGCCACCTGATCAATAAACAAAACAGGAAAAAAATTCCTCAATAGTTGTAATCATTTACATACAATACGAAAATGTAAAACTACCAAAAGACAAAATAAAAAGGAAGACGCCGCTTACCCAAAACAAAAACAACCTTGGGCTTTTTGTCGGCCAAGCTAGCAGTGAGATCCTGAATACATACGTAATGATAAACTGATTTGGATAGAAAAAGATGCAAATGCATGACAAAGGATGTACGAATAACGGAATAAATTCCATCGTCGCATTACCTTGTTTGCAACATCAACTGCTCCCATTATTGAATAAACTAGCTTAGGTTAGGAGCTCGTTTAAACCTACATAAATCAGAAAGAAAGAAAGAAAGAAAAAAAATTATAAAAATTAAGAAAGGCAAAGAAGAGATCTGAAGTATAGCAAGTTGATGCGAGGAGGAGGAATACAAAACATGCACAATTGCACATTTAGATCGGATTCGAATTCCAAATTCCACGTACAGATGGAGAAGATGAAAAGAAAAATGCGGCAAGATCGTAAAGAACTGAATTTACAGAGATCAAAATGGCATTGTAAATGGAAATCGAAGGAAGAACGATCAGATCAGATCAGAGCAAATACAATGACAAGAGAGGATTAATTTGCAAGATAAGTAAGAAAATTACCTGAATTGTTATTTTTTTCAATTGAAAAGGGAGGAGGGAATGGAGCTGTGGAGGAAATTGAATTTGGAGGTGCGTCTGCCTTTGATATGGGATTGCTTTTCAAAGGCTTTTACAAACTTTTGAATGAACCCTTGCGATCTCCATCTACCAAATGTGGCTACCTTCAAAATTACACCTTATGCTGCGACAGTGAATATGACCTGACCCCGTTTAATCGATCAACATATTTATGTATTTATTTTGAAATAATTTGAGGTTATTTAAAATAATATATTTTCATAATTTTTTAATCGGAAATAATGCACATTCCTCTCGTAACATTCGAACTTAAATTCTTTAAGAATAATAGCATTTTCTTTTACCATTAAAATCATAATTCAATTAACATATTTATTGTTTCGAATAAATTGTATTCTTTTAAAGTTACAAGATTATAATGTGGACTGTTATTAAGAATTAGACCCTGTAAACAAATATATCAAACACAAACGAGGGTACGTTCATGTTCGTTTGTTTAATTTTGACCAAACAAATGAAGGAACACGAAAAACTAAACTAACTAAATTTTTTGTTCATGTTTGTTTATTAAAAAATGTAGTTTGTTCGTGTTCGTTAAATGATAAACAAACACAAGCGAACGAGCGTAAACGGACACAAATAAACGGACATAAAATTAATTGGGTTTATATTTGAAAAGAATTTTTTTATTTCCAAATAATTTTAGTATTTATATTTTTTAATTGGTTTGAGTATTTTTTTTACTTTGATTTAAAATTAATTGAGTTTTAAATGTAATGAATTTAAGATTAAAATTTATTAGGTTTTAATATTTTAAACATGTTTAGAGATTGAGCTGAATATAAATGAACAAATATAAACAAACGTAAACGAACAAATTGTCGAATGTTCACGTACGTAAATGAACGAACGAACCTTTTATTTGTGTCATTTCATTTAATTAAACGAAGTTAAAATTCTGCTCATGTGCATTCACTTAATAAATAAGTGAATTTTTCGTAAACAGTTCACGAGCAATTTGCTCAAGGTTTAGTTCATTTACTGGACTATTAAAAATTGAGAACAAATAATATTTAATTTTTTTAAATGTAAATATTCAATTAAATCATTAAACTTATATCGTTCTTTAAGATTTAATAACGTAATTAATTCAATATTAAATTAATTCATAACAATCAATCGCTCAAATATTTTTATATATAATATAGATAAAATAAATTCGATATTCGATACTTTTAAATTCTATTTTTTGAACAAATATAATTGAAATATCAAAATAAAAGCTATTTTATTTATAGCGGGAAATAAAGGAAGAGGAAACCGAAGGCGTCACCGCCGACTTGCGTGTACTTTTTTCCCGCGTTTAGAGTAATCTTTATTATTTTATTTTTTGGTAAATAATCTAATATCAAATGGGAATATTGTTCTCAATATCATCGAGTCCACGATACAGAATCGATCTCGTCCCTTGCAGCCTTGTACAGTTCAAGCCTTTTAGCACACTGTTCTCTCCTCCCCATCAATGCTGGATCCTCGTCCAACATTTGTGACAGCTGCTTCGCCTGAAAAACACCCATGAACCCCATGCCAAAATTTAACACCGACTAAAATGTTGATATATATAGACGTTGCTAATGACATTTTACCTCTTTCTTTCCTAGCTGCGTGTAAAACCGGGTCAGCAATGATTGTTTTGCCTCCCTAACTTGACAGTAAACCACAGCCTTCGGGATTGTGTTCTTAAGTGTATCCGACACCATACCGATATACGAGGAAACATTTGACCCTATCCTCCGGAAATGGCCCTCGCCGTACCGGTCCGTAGATGCAGTAGGTTGCGGGTTTCCTCCGGGATTTCGTGCTACATCCGCTTCTTGGGGAAGCTTCCGGAAGAACTCGACTGTTAAATATGATGATTCCATATCTACCAACCGGACGGCTGTCTTCTTACCTTCGTCTCGAAACCTCTCCAAGGCTTCGTTAGCAGCTGCTGCAATATCGGCTTGCAGTCTGGGAAAGCGTTTTAGTTCCTGTTAATAGAAAACATCAATAGACATTCATCTATGGTACACCAGACAAACTACGTAAGATTAATTTTCTCAAAATTTAACCTGAGTTTCCGCTATAGATTTCCTCACAAGTTCCTTCAAGACAAAGTGAACCTGCATAAAAAAATGTAGATCAGCTAAAAGTAACGTAAAAAAATCAGAAAACTTGAAAAATTCAAAATAAATGTAGAGTGACTATTAAAGTAATAAATGAAGGATAACAACTTACAGCATCCACAGAAGCTTCAGCCGGGCCCCTGAAGTAACTTAATGCCCCATCAATAAGCCTGCGGTAACCTTGCTCGGGTGCTATCAAGTGTGGTTGATAACCATCTGCCTCGGTCACTACTCTCTTTACATTTTGGATAGAAAGATGGCGGTCAAAGGGAAGCTTCCTCAAAGCAGCAGGTAGCTGGTTGTCAAAGACTCCATAGATACGATCACCTCCAGGTCGCCTAATATATCAATGTCCAAAGGAGTTATTACACCATGTAATTATCACTGTTATAGCCCGGGGCTAAAATGGAAAGTGCAGACAACTCTAAAATTGTAAGTACTGTATGAATCTAACTCGAGGATGAATGGTTTTTATGATCAGACTAATAACCATGATTGAGAATGGGAAAAACAAAAGAAGTTATTAAAATGCTTTACCCTCCATCTAGATGCTCCTTGAATATCCGTTCAAAGGCACGGCAGACTTCCAGTACAGTGTATAGTTGAGCCTAATACACAACATCACAATTATACACAGAACATGAGGTAACTTATACAGAACTAGGAAAGGTATGCTACTAACCCCAGCATCAAGAGCAATAGGCCTGCCAAGATGATCCATCTCTGATTCAAGTTCATCAATACTTTTATTTATCGAATAAGTGATACTTGGTATCCGAGCCCTAATGACAGATTCCAAATGCTGAAGACAAGGCAACACTGTTAGATATATTCCCTTTAAGATTGCAGAAATCTAATAAAGTAAAATGTACTCAGTTTCAAACCTGCGACAGAAGTTTTGCAAGATACTCTGAACCCATTTTACTTGCTAAGTGACCATAGTCTGGACTAGAGGCAAAATATTCACGCTCCTTGCGTCTTGCCACAGTCATTTCCACATTTTTGTTTATATCAGCCTGTGAACGGTTCACAATTCCAACCCAAGGATGCACTAGCCGGTAAGATCTCCCTTCAAGTACCTTAAGAATGGAAAAGGAAATAAAACATGTTAGTAGACCAAATCAGCTACAATTAAAAAAACAAAGAATAGAGACACTCAGATAAAGTAAATATGGAATTTTATATGAACAAGAAAGAAAGCCAAAACTCACATCCAAAGCATTAGTCCCTTTGTCCATAAGGTCAAGCTTAGTTAACACCCCAAATGTACGATCACCTGGCATAAAAAAGATGCAATTTTCTCAAGGAAAAAAAGGGTGTAATATACTTCGCAAAGATTTGCATCAGTGCTAACGCTATAGTAAAATGATAATTTATACATACCAGAGGGGTCTACCTCCCTGGACAGTTTGATAGCATCCGAAGTTGCTATATCTTGATTAGCAGGAGATATAGCTAGTATGATACAATTAGGCTACAAAAAGCAAATTGATGATTCAGAATGCAAGGGAACATAAATAAGAAGCTTCAGATGAGAAAAGATTGTTTAATCGTGTAAGAGAGCAACAAAACATATCAAATTCCATAATAGTAACAGTAGCCGTTAGTCCAAGGATTGAATTCATGTAAGCAGAAACTTATACCCAAGTGAAGAGAGACATGGAAAGGGGTGAAATATTATTGTCTATTAACTAAGCACGGTTGAAGATGATTACCTTCTCAACATAAGACCGAACCATGGCTTCGATGTCTTGAACTACACTTTCCGACTGCCCCTCTAAAAAGAACAATGGTCCCATTCAATAATTGAACACAAAAGAATAACAATGAATATTAAAAAAAAAAACCCTTACCAACCGCAACTTTTGTTAAGCCCGGCAAATCAATCAGGGTTAAGTTCACAACTGTGGGAGGAGAATAAATGGTGTTAGCTAAATGAATCTTGACCGTTACTTAAAAGAAGAAATATAATCATTGATTTGTGATGACAAACCATTCGGAGAGTAGATACTGAGATGGATGGGAACGGGAGATATTTGCTTAGTCTTCCCTGTAATTCTCTCAGTTTCCTCTTGAATTTCATGACGGACCGCCCCTGCACCATGAAAGGATGAGCAAAATAACCTTCAATTTCAAATTAACCTAAGAGTAATAATCCATGCAACCAGAACTCGCAACTAGCGGGAACGAATAAAAAACATCAAGAAGGTTTTCTTATTTCCTAGATTGTCCATGATTGGAACAAAGGAAAGCTAAAAAAAACAAGGCAAATCCAGCTAAAAAAACCGAAGGCAAAGCAGAAAGGAAAAAAGGATTACCAAAATCAGTGAACCTTCTCCTGGGCAGATGAAGAAACTCAGCATACTCCTGCGACCCTTCTTCCGTCTTATGAAGCTGCAAGACCAAAGGTCGTCTCGTCACAATTCCTGCACCAAATTACCTTAAGAGACTAAAATTTAATAACTAAAAAAGAGAGAGAAAATAGGAAACTAACGAACCCGATCCTCTGGGAAGAAAGTCACGACCAACTATGCTCTCGAGCACCGAAGACTTCCCTGAACTCTGTTCTCAATCCAAAAACGAAACCCGGCTCATATAAGAAGATCGGATACGTCTACGTTCTTTGTTCAAAGAAAGATTGCAGAAATTCGAAAGACGTGAAAGAGAAACCTGTCCTCCGACGACGGCAACAGAAGGAAGAGTTTCCCAAAGCGAAGAGAAATCGTTATCGCCTCCGCCATAATCACCGAGCACCGTACAAGCTCGCTGGATCCTGTTAACCAAGCCTATCAAGCTCTCCATAGTGGTCATCCTTGACGGCGAACCTCGGAAGAAAACGATAAGTTGAAATCGGAAGCTAAAAGAATAAAAGAAATGAGCTCCTGCGTTCGCAAGCTGCGGTTGACTAGTAGAGGTTGAGAAAAGGGGAGGAACCAGAGGTTTT